ATTATTGGAGTTTTTTTATTTTAAACAATTAATTTTTCATTTTATTATTTGGTCTATTTTTAAACGAAACAAACCCAGTAGGTTCGGTCCAGTTTCAGAGACTCGGTTTTGTGTCTGAGGTTCTAGTCTTACCAGATGACGGCCGGTCCGAGTACCGAGTGCAGTAGACCCAGGCGGGCCACAGCATCTGCTGGCTCTCCGGGGTCGGCGTTCCGGTCTCGGTCTGAACCCGGTCCCCTCCTCCGGTCCTGTCCTCGGCCTTTACCTCATCTCTGTTGTCTGTGAGGGCCCCGGGCCCCGCTCCGGTTCTGCTGATCTGTTTGGGACTTGATGAAGACGAAGAGGATGAAGAGGTGCTGTCGCTGCTGCTGCCACAGTCCAGGTTCGGGGTCCCGGGAAGGTTCGGCCCACTGATCACCGGAGCGGAGCTGTGCTCCAGCAAACCCAGACCCGGKTCCTTCCTGCAACCGAAGTCCGGCCGCAGGATGTTGTCGATGAAGAAGTTGGTGGTTCTGTGGTTCTGCTGGGCCACCTGCAGGGGCAGGACGGGGGCTGAKGGGGGGACGCTCTCTGAACTCTTTAAGTCCCGCTGCTCCTCCATCGAGCGTTCGGTTCTGTCGGAACCGTAGCCCTCCCACTGTGTCACTGTTTGGATCCAGAATCTAAGCTCCAGGCTAACTGAAACCCGAACATTTTTTTGTTCAGATCCTGCTCAAACTGGGCCCGTCTGGTCTGAGTGTCCCAGCTCCGGTCCGTCATGGTGGGTCTGACAGAGGCGGGGTGACTGCTTTTGATGTTGCTGCTCACTTCTGGGTCCTGTCAGCGCATCACCAACACACTCGGAACCGAACCCAAAGACCAGCGGGCCAATCAGAGGCTGGAACCCATCAGAGCACGAGATGACACCTTCCAATCAGAAGAGAGTCTGTGGACCCGCTCTGTGGTTCTGTCTGCGGCTTCTGGTCCGGTTCTTTGAGAAAGTTTCTGTAAAGGAATGAATGAATGAATAAATGTATTACGTATGTTCCGAACCCTGCCGTGTTCTCGGGTCCAGGTTCGGGTTTATAATTTCTAATGGTCCACCTCCCACCAGAGAGTCTCATCTCCGAAACAACAGATCTGATCCATAAAAGATCCTTTTATTTTTAATCACAAGGAAACAAACAAAACATAATTATTTTTATTTGATTGGAGTTTAATTAATTATTTTTTCAATTTATTCTGTTCGATTTACAAACGCGCGTGCCTTCATTGATTTAGTCCGGTTCTGGATCGTCTTATGCTTTCCGCTTGTTTCCTATTTCCTCCTCTTCTGCTCCATCAGAACAGGGTCAGGCTTCTGGTCCAAAGTGGGCCGACAGGAGCTGAGGTCTGGTTTCAGGAAAATACAGAACCAACAGTTTAAAAAATAAAAAAATTCAGTCAGAAGCACAAGGCTGATGATTCATGATGGAGTTCTATTCTATTCTATTCTATTCTATTCTATTCTATTCTATTCTATTCTATTCTATTCTATTC